CACCCACAGACATAACCACTGCTATAAAGATAAAGTAATTTGGGGAGGGGGGACAAAAGTACCCCTTTGACGGGTATGCAAACCTGCATTCTCACTTAAGAACCAGAAAATTGAGATCATTATAATTTGCTCTCCATCAGGGCTTCCCACTCAGGAGAAAACAATTTTAAAAGGAATGCATTTATTCCATCTCAGATTTTTGGTGTGCCTTTTTCCCCCTTAAAGCATAACGAGCTTGTCAGTTTCCATGGTGAACATGGAGCACCATGGAAACTGATAGATTTAGCTACACAAAAAGAATAAATAAAATAGGCAGTCATCTACTTCACTGTGCAACGACAACTTTTTTCCTGGATGGGAGAGGAAAGTGGATTCTCATTTAAGCTGCCTGCCCTTTATTCCCTGTGCCTCATGAAAACACGCGTTATTTTCACTGGATAGTTTCACTAACCTACGCTGATTGGATTGCTTATCTCCTCACGGCCCTGCTTTTATTTCTGCTTTGGTTTTACCTCAGGGTGGGTCGGTGTGTCACTGGCAATAGTTGGAAAACCATGTACAATGTGGAAGTTGTAGATGACAACCAACAATGACCAAGTGAGTCATGGAAAAACTGAATGTAAAATTCTTCGCTGTCTATTATAGGGAAACATATGTGAGAATGACTGCAGTCAAGACCCAGGTTCATCCTGCACCAAGTGGATAGGCAAGCCAATGCCTGGGAACCCCAGTTTCCCCATCTCTGTAATGATTAAAGTACCTCCTCTTCCTACTTTATGGAGTTGTTGTGTGGCTCAAAATGAGATAGAAGAAGAGAAAGCCTTTTAAAACAGATCAGATTCTATCTAGCAGGAGAGATTGATCAGCTGCTGGTATAATTACACCAATAAGGTGACCAAAATGTCAAAACTGATCATACTATCATCCTGTCCTTTGCCTCAGCATTTAGAGTTTCAGAATATGTTTGCCCCACCTAGTAGTTGGGGAGTTTTGAGACCACTGTTTCCATTTGAAGTAGGGATGAATGTGGCTTTAAGAAATGAAGCTTTTCAACTTTTCTTATGTTTGAAAATTTTCATAATAAAATGTTAGAAGACTAAATCAAGAAAATACAGCTTTTTCTTAAAAAAAAAAAAAAAATATTCTATTGCCGAAACTGGTTTGGCTCAGTGGATAGAGCATCAGCCTGAGGACTGAAAGGTCCCGGGTTCAATTCCGGTCAAGGGCATGTACATCCCCAGTAGGGCATGCAGGCACATCCCCAGTAGGGAGTGTGCAAGAGGTAGATGATCGATGATTCTCTCTCATCAATGTTTTTAACTCTCTATCCCTCTCTCTTCCTCTCTGTAAAAAATCAATAAAATATATTTAAAAAATATTATTCTATTGATTTTTGAGAGAAAGAGAAACATGCATCAACTACCTCCTGCACGCCCCCTACTGATGATGGAACCCATAACGTGGGCATGTGCCCTGATAGGAAATGGAACTGCTGACCTCCTGGTGCATGGGACTTTGCTCAACCAATCAAGCCACCCTGGCCCGGGGCTAAATCTCTTTCTTAAATTCTAGTCCCAATAAAAATCTCACCATTAACATACTTACTATAGCCCATTATTTTTGAAGCACTAAACTATAGTCAATAGAGCCTTCCCTTGAAATTCAGCATTTATATAAATCTCTTGAGCAGCTTCTCTTGGTCAGGCCCTGTGTTGGGGGATACAGAGAAAGAAAGGGGGGAGGGAGAGGGAGAAGGAGAGAGCTTGGGCCTTTAGGAGACCACAGTCTTCTGGGGAGACAGACTAATAAAGGAGAAGCACCTAACATCAGAGAGAGAGAGAGAGGGAGTATAAAGATTTCCTGGAGGGGGTTGGGAGTGAGCAATTAAGCTGAAGCATTTGATCAGGGGAAAGTAGGTAGTAAAATGAGGCCAGCACCATGGAAGGCGGAGAGATCGTAGTATGTGGGAGAGGAGGAGGAAGAGCTGGAAGAAGCAGCCATTTCACTTCTCTTTTCTTTGGAAGGAAGTGAAATGTGGAGGTTGGAGCCTGAAAGTGCACACCATTGGTAGCTTTCCTTTTGAGAAACTGAGTAGGTGGGGGTTGAAAGGAGCCATTGCTGACAGGGAATGGTAATACTAGAGAAAAGCAGTGAAATGCACATTAAATAGTAATTTCTAAGGCTCTCAGCTCTAATATTGCACGGATTTAAACACGGGCTGTAGAAGGCTGGAGAATAGGAACTGTGATTCCTTGAGACTTTGGAGGCACAATAAATGCCCATTTTTTGCATACTTTGCCCTGTCAGGATAACCACATTAACCAGAAGCTGGCTTGCCATGTGTTTGGGCCATGTTCCAAAGGTGACTATGAAAGCTCTGCCACTCCCTTTCCTCCAGACCTCAGTGACCTTGAGAACATGCCCCAGGGGAGACCAATTGCAGGAGAACTGACAATTTAAAGGAGTCTCTGACTCTACGGGTGGAGGAGGGATGAGAGTTGTCCAGATTTCCTGACGCGTGGCTGAGCGGAAGGTGCTGGATGGACCCTGAGCAAACGCTCTGCCACTGGGCTGTGAGCGGGAGCAGAACTGTGCACTGACCAGAGGAGCACAATGCCAGGCCACCGGGAGGCCTGTGGCCATTCCTTCTGTGTAAGACGAACTTCATTTAAATCTACACTGTAATTGCTCACACCGCGAGCCACAGACAGCAATACCAGTAAACATCAAAACAAAATTCCCTAGCAATTCCATGACCCCAACTCTGTTCTCTATTCTTCAAGTCTAGCCATTATGCCTACAGGTGTTTCATGATTGTAACCAGGCATAAATACCTTTAAAAAAAACACCTTAACATTTTATTATATATAATTCCCAGATGCTTACATATTTCCCCTAATTGTTTTTAATGATTTCATAATATCCTACTGAGCAAATACATTCAAATTCACTAGTCTCAGCTGTTGGATATTGAGGTGGCTTTCAGTAGAAATATACTAGCTGTATCTGTTTTAGGAGACCAATACATCTATTAGGAGCATTTACCTGATTTCCTTTTTTTTTTTTTAATAACAGCCAGACACTATCTTCACTTTTCTTTCTGAGGTTTGTGTGTATTCAGGCCTAGATCAAGAGGAGTTTTTGGTGTTCTGGCTGTTGGGACTGCCAGCAGGGAGTGTGATCTCCAGGATCAAGAGGAAGTGACAGGGAGAGAGGGCCAATGTCTCCACGAGGCAAGATCCAGGGCTTTCTAATCTGAGGCTCTGGCAGGGAGACCAACCTCCTTGGTGGACCTGGGACTGAGGAGTGTCCTGGGTTTCAAGACTTCCAGTGCTAAAACCAGGAAAGTCTCCCATAACTGGAATGAGTTGGTCACTCTAGATTTTAGGGGGGATGAAGGCACTGAGAAAATAACAAATCATTCATATAAGCTAGCCCTAGATTACAAAAGTAGCCATTCAGAGAAAGCCTGCTTGTACACTGCAATGGAATGTTCATTCTCTATGTAGGCACCCAAACCGGATACTTATCTCAGGTTATTGTTCTGCTCCCAGAAAATCAATTTCTTCATTTATTCAGTAAATATGTACGCAACACCGGGTACTGTTCTAGGCACAAGACCCCTATTCTAGTGGCATTTCCATTATTGTGTGTGTGTGTGTGTGTGTGTGTGTGTGTGTGTATTGGGGGAAGAGAAACACATAAATAACATAAAATACACGATGATGGATATAATCAATGCAATGGCAGATGTAGGATGGACTATGGAATAGGAACTTCAAGGGCAGGGGTTGGCTACTAGCTTGGTGGTAGAGGGAGGTTACTTTAAGAGCTGACAATTGAAGTAAACCAGACACAAGCGCTGGCCATGTGAGATCCGCAGGAGGCATGAGGGGCAGAAGGAGCAGCATGTGCAAAGGCCCTGAGCAGAAACCAGCTGGTTTTCATGGAGGAACTTAGTGAAGAACTGGGTGGGCGGAAGCAGTCTTAGCAGCCACCCAGTCCAAGCTCCATTTTCACAAAGGACGGTGGTAAGGATGCTGAGGCCCACCCCATGGACCACGGTCTCCTGAGTCCTAACCCAGCACTTTCCTCGCCACACCACACCATGCCACACTGCCATTCCTGGCTGGTTGGCTTGAGTATTTCTTTTTTCCCCTTTGTACAACTGCAAACAGATCAACGAGATTCATTTAGGTATGAGAAAAATTAGAATTGTAATTGTGGGTGGACAGAAGGACCAACATATTGGCCTCAAAGTGAAGAGAGGTACTTCAGGGTCCAGATTAACCTCCAGTGGTGTGAGGGGGGGGGGGGGGGGGGAGGAGAAGGGGACTCCTAGCCGTTCTGTAGGACATGCTTCCAGACCATCGGGTTAGGACAAATTCCGCCGCTGGCAGAAGCTGAAAATGAAACTTGTCTGTAAGGTTGGCCGCTCTAACTGACCTTTCATCCGTGTCTGAACTTGTGCCAGGTCAGAGCGTGTGGGTGCCACAGGTGGAAGAGACCAAGGTTTGGCCACCAACAGCCCTAAGAGTCTAAAGGAGAGAGAACACAGGCAGGTGCGCCTCCAGGTGTGCCAACCTAAGCAAGGTGCCAACCAAAGCTAGGTGGAGGAGGCTGGGAGGGGCAAAGAACAAAAAGCACTTTTAGTGACCAGTTCGAGGTCCGGGGCTGGGACCCTGATTCCTCCGGCTCCTTCCTTCATCCCTGTCCCCTGGGGAGGTGACAGCCACCACGGACCCAAAGAACTGCAGCGGAGGGGGGCCTGCGATTTTGGAAACTCAAAGAGTTAATATATTAAAAAACAAACAAACAAAAACTATCGCGGTGGAGGAGGGAAAGACCACACCCACGGGAGCCAGGAGCCAACTCCAGGGAGGAAAATCCCATTGGTATAGAAAAGATAGGGAGCCAGCCCCCTGGGCGTGGCCTGCAGGGGGCAGGTGATCTCCAGATAAAGCCAGGGGACAGGACCAGAAGCAAGAACCCTTGCGGGTGCAGCAGCTGCAGGAGCTTCTGCCCGCTGCGCTCCTCCTGGCCTCGCGCTGCGCTCCGCTGACATGTGTGCCGCCCGGATGCCGCCGCCGCTGGCGCACATCTTCCGAGGGACGTTCGTCCACTCCACCTGGACCTGCCCCATGGAGGTGCTGCGGGATCACCTCCTGGGAGTGAGCGACTGCGGCAAAGTAAGCGGGCGGGGGGTCGGGGTCGGGGACAGGAGGTTCGGGTGGAAGGAAGCGCGCCCGTGTGCGGTGCCCTGCGGGCCCGGAGCTCCCTGGGTGCAGAGCGAGCTCCCTGGGTGCAGAGCGAGCGCCGGCTCCAGAGTTGAACTTGAGGGCTTGGCTGCAGAGGGAAGCCGAAAGAATCCTGGCTGCCAGGGAGTTAGCGTGTTCCTAGAAGCTAAACAGGTGTCCCAGAGCCGGGAGCCATCGGGACGGCAGGCAGCCGTGCAGGCTGTCGAGGAAGGAGGAGCGGGGCTGTGCCCTCGCAAAAACCCTCAGAGAGAATTACCGGACCAGCACCGTGTCTATCAGGTGCCTGGCATGGACATAATTGTCAATGTCTTGTGGAAGGAATAACAGAGGGGAAATCTGATCCGTGTTCCTTAGTCCTCTCAGTGCAGAGAATAAGCAAAGTACTCATGTCATTCATGTGATCCTTCAACGGACAGGTTACTTACTAACGGCTCCAACTAAACTTGGAATCCTAAAAGGGTGGTCTGCGAGAAATGACCCACCCCACTCCCCGCAACACACACCCGGAGCCATTTGCATTGAAGCAAACAGTTCCCTCTCTAGGTGCAAGATGTCTCCTACCAGTGCATCTTCCACACTTCCTTTCCCAAAATCAGATTTCTACAAACAACGTGGGTAACTTGATGTCTAATATTTACTGTTCCATATTCATCGGTGCTCCCTGTGGTGGCCTGGCCAGTTTGATGAGTGAAAGGCATTCCATTTGTTTAGAAGAAGAAGAAGAATTAAAAAAAAAAAAAAAAACTAAGCTGGGGATGGGATATTTTTGAGCTTTCCCTCACCAGATTGTTTAGCAAAAGTACAGGTATTGTGACTTGTCAGCTTGAAGATGCTATTCCAGTCTAAAGATTCTTCCGAGTCAGTGAGAGTTTTAAATCATGACTCTTGCATTTGGGGATAACCAGACCCTGCTTTCTTATGGCGCTTAAAAAAAAAAATATTCTCTGTGCCTATTGAGGGAGCCTGCTCTTATATTTCCAAGGTGGTTGAACTCTCGGAGCTTCTCCAAATGGGGAGATTCCTATAAACCCTCAGACTGATGAATGATTGCCTTGAGTACTTTACCCCCAAAGTTTCAGGGAACCTTTAGGCTCAAGAAAAGTCCCAGGAAGCCAATGAAAAGAGATTGCTAAGCTGGGGAAAGGCCAGAGGAGTTTGCCTAACCACAAGGAGCTGTTCAGTTCTTAGGATTCTTTTTTAAAAAATTAATTTCCCATATTCTGAATTTTAATTGGTAGGATAGCAGGCAAGAGAGTGAGTTTGAGAACTGGGTTTAACCAGTGGAGAGGAATAAGGAAAGGAAGTAATTTATCTAAAAAAAGTTACCTTTGCTAGGTTTTGTACAGAAGAATAAAAGTCCCGAACATGCAATTACGGTAGTAGGTGTGTCAGGAAGTCTGTCCTAACTACGGAACATACTGAAGTAATAAATTTGGAAAAATGCCATTTCCCCACAAGGTAACATTAACTAGGAGTTGAATGTAAAGGTGAGTTCATCAAGTGGCTTCAATTTGTGGTATAAAATGCCCCCATCACTGAATTAGTAACTGTTTGCAGCTCTGCTCCAAAGTGCAAAGCAGTAGATTCCTGACAGCATACAGGGATAGTGTGCCATAGATAACGTGTCAAGACTTGATTTCCCTCATTTTCAAAGGGCGAATGCCTCTCCTTTAGAGATGCTAGGATGAATATCTTATTTACTTAAAAATTACATCTCCATGAAATAAGAATGAGGAGTCACCATGGTCTTCACATTTTCCCTGAGCTCTGAAAGCTGTTCTCACACCGTGGGAAGAGTCAGAGCCACCGAGGGTGGCTTGTTACGATGCTGGGTCCAGGGCATCATCCTCTGAGAATCTGAATCTGTCGACATGGAGGGGCCCAGGAAGTGGCATTCCAACAAAGGCCGAGGAGGTTCCAACCCAGGTCATGGGTGGATTACATGTGGGGTAACCACAGTATGTAGGCTGTGTGATAGAATCAGTTGTATCAGGTCTTGGGAGCTTAGTTCTCCACTTCGAGCTCAGGTCTGGGGTAGCATCTCAAGAGAGAGGGGATGTGACTTCCTCTACTCCTCCCTTTCTCCCTTCTAGACCTCATCCCTTTTATTTCATATAAATTCATTTTGGCCCAGAGAATGGCAATGACTCACTACTGTTAGTGAGTTAATGAAAGCTCATTCAAAATTAGGTTCATTAAAATGGATGCTCTAGTCAATATTTTAGTATTGGGCATTTTGAATTCAGAGTTAGTTTTTCTACTCAAGGGACGTGTAGCTTTTCAAAAGGAAGACCCAGCCTGTAGAACTCATTTGTGGATACTTAATCGTGAAACACGGAGTGCTCAAATATTACTAAACTGCCCGATTCCACATGCAACAGGGTCAGGTGGACTTTAAAGATACATAAAGATGCCTGCGGTCTTTTAAAATATTTTTATTGATTTCATAGAGGAAGGGAGAGGGAGAGAGAGAGAGAGAGATAGAAACATCATTGATCGGCTGCCTCCTGCACTCCCCACACTGGGGCTCAAGCCTGCAACCCGGGCATGTGCTCCAGTGGGGAATTGAACTGTGACCTCCTGGTTCATATGTTGATGCTCAGCCATTGAGCCACACCTGCCGGGGAAGCTTTTGGCCTTTTGATGAACACTTACATGGAGGCAAGAGCAAGAAAAAGAATCATTTTGGGGGTAATGTCCTGGGGTGGCAGAAGAAAGTCCTGTGGAGAAACAGGGACCTGGGTTCAAGTTCGGTCTTTACTGTTTACCTGCTCACTTACAACCTAAGTGAATTTGATCAAGTTATTAACAATTTATTTCCAAGTAATCGTATGTATAAAGTATTTCTACAGTCTACCTCAGAGGGTTGTTGAAAAGATTAAATGAGTTAGTTTGTAAAGTGTGTAGATTAATGCCTTTCGTATAGCACATGCCCAAAAAACACTAGCAGTTATTATCAACAATTTAGATGGAGATAAGAGGACAGAATTGGTAGCTATTTGTGTCAAGTCACCTGGATTTGACGATAGAGTTGGAAAGATATTTATGAATTTTGTATCGTGGGATGCAGATTGGCTGGTGATAGAAAAAGCTTGGTGAAGGAAGCCAAAATTGAACTGGACATTAAGAACACACAGGATGTGAACATGCAGAAAAGGCTCCGGTGAAGCGAACGAGGCAATGTTCTTTATTTCCTGAAGCTGTTGGGAGGAACAAGCGTTGTGTGTCACCTGACAATGCATCATCAACTTGCAGTCCTCACAGTGGAAATTACATATCTTAGTGGTTCTGAATCATCCCTTCCTTCTGCTTAGGCAAATGAAGACCTACCTTCCTTGTCAAGCTCAGGACCCCAATGAATATGCTGTGAACTTGAAGAGGGAATCTGGGCTAAGCCCTCCCTTCTGCAACTGCCAAATCAGAGCTTTGCCGTCATTAGAAACATGTGTTCATGCCCAAATATCATGTTATTATCTTGTAAATTCCTACTTTCCAGAGGGCAGATTGTTTTGTTCAAAAGGCTCATGGCAGGAACTGTTGGCTAGCCATTCAATAGCTATAACCCCTGCTTCCTTATTAACACGTCTGACTTTGATCTGCTTGTAATATATTTGGCTCTTAGATACATCACGGGGTAAGCCAGTCTTGGTTACTGTAATCTCATTTACTAGTACCTCTTTTCCCAGCTTCCTGGTAGCTCAGGGTGGCCAGGATGGCGTTCTGACATGCAGGAAGTTGGCTCAAGGCTTCTGGGAAATATTTCTCTCCCTAACCACTAGATACAGATGCGGGATCTTTTCTCTTTTTGATGCCCTCAGGTGAGGAGTGAAGCTGCTGCAACTGCCTCCGTTCACCTCCACCTAACCCCACATCCTTTCCCTCTGGCTATCACCACACAGTTGTCTGCATTTATCTGTCTTGTGTATATGTTTTTCAGTTAATCCCTTCACCTTTTTCCATCCAATCCCCTGTCTCCCTCCCCTCTGACAGCTGTCAGTCTGTTCCGAGTATCCATGCCTGTTTGTTTTGTTCACTAGGTTCCACTTATTAGTGAGATCATATGGTACTTGTCTTTTTCTCTGACTAGTTTATTTCATGTCTGAACCTCAGCATCCTCATTTATAAAATGTGGACAATAATAGCACCATGAAGGAGTTGTGAGGCAGATGAGATAATGTGTGTAAAGCACTTGGCGCATAGTAGTTGCTCAATAAATGTTGGCCATTGTTATTATTTTTCTTTCACTGAAGTAATGATTTCATTTTTGCATTTGATTATACTTAGCTTAATAGAATATTCTCACTCACTGAGTTGATTTAAAGTTCTCAAAAAATGGGAGGACACCTCGAGAGAAGGTGACATTGTCATACTGTGGGTCAGATACTTAGCCAGATTCTTTGTACACTGATAACCTTAGATTAGATATCATCATCATCATCATCATCACCATCATCTTCATCATCATCATCCCTGCTTTATCAATGAGGAAATGGAGGCTTAGAGAGTTCTCTGACTTGGCTGTAATCATAGGGAGTAGGTGGCAAAGCCAAGATTCGCACCCATGCCTGTCTTATGTCCAAGACCCCTGCTCTTTCCAGCAGTCCCTGCTGCTTCCTGTCATGAGAAGGGCTGAAACTCTATTGTGCTAGGGCCCCTCAACATTGTCTTATTGTTTTGACACAAAATAGGTGGTCAGGGAAGGACTGGAATGTGATGTATAAATCAAAGACATTCATGAGAGATGTGGAACAAGACAGACATTTCTAATTCCAGAGAGGTAGTTAAAAAGCACAATTACCCTTCTTCTTGGAGGCTTTGAAGCAACATTGCTGGCATGGCAGGAGTTTGCTGCCCTTCCACGTGTATAAAGTTGTCTGTTGATTTCTGGGATTTCTTGGCAGCCCTGATTGATCTGGTGCAGTGGCTGCAGG